TCCTACCAATCTTTCAATTCTCACAACGAAGAATTATGACAATTGGAAAATACAGATACGAGTGGTTATGAGGTATCAAGGAGTATGGAATCTTGTTGAAGAAGGTTGCAACTTGACTGGTGAAGGTGGAACGGAAGCTTAGAAAGCTATAGATATCGAGATCAAAAAGAAAGATTGCAAGGCCCTGAATATCTTGCATCAAAGTGTTGATGCATCAAATTTTGAAAAGATCTCGAAGGCTGAGACATCCAAGGAGGCCTGGGACATTCTTGAATTGGTCCATGGTGGTGCAACGAAGACCAAGAAGGTGAGGCTTCAAACGCTACGATGTCAATACGAACTTCTATCGATGGAAAGCAACGAGCAGGTGGTTGATTACATCACTCGTGTTCAAACGATGGTGAACACTATGAAGGGTCTTGGAGAGAAGATGTCTGAGCTGCAGGTGATTGAGAAGGTGTTGCGTACGCTACCAGCGAAGTTCGATCATATAGTAGTTGCGATAGAGAGTCAAAAAATCTTGAAAATTTGAGTCTTGATGAACTTCAAGGTTCCTTGGAGTCACACGAATTAAGGCTAATTGAAAGGGGAGAAGAGCGAAAGAATGAGCAAGCTCTTCAGGCTCAGACCAACACAAACGCAACGTTCAAGAAGAAGTCCAAGAACAAAGGAAAATGGAGGCAAGAAGTGAACAAAGAGGACGCAAAAGAGACTCAAGACAACAAGCACACAGTAGCGTCTCAGAAAGGGAAAAGAAGTAATTTTGACAACAAAAAGGTGAAATGTTACAACTGTAATAAGATGGGACACATTGCCAAGTATTGCAAGCAATATAATCCAAGAAGAGATGAAGCCCGATTGGCTCAAGAAGAGGACGATGACCCGAAACAAGTTTTGTTAATGGCAACTATTGTCCAAACAGAAGGAATCGAAGATAATTGTTGGTATCTTGACATTGGATGCTCAACACACATGACGGGAAGGAAGGATTGGTTCACAAGTCTTGACGAATCAATTAAAATGCAAGGTCAAGTTCGCAGACACTCGTGTACTAACAGTCGAAGGGATTGGAAATATTACAGTGAAGAAGAAGAATGGAGGTCAAGCTCTCATCACCGATGTCTTGTTTGTTCCTGAAATGAAGATCAATCTATTAAGCCTAGGCCAACTATTGGAGAAAGGATACTCCTCTAGACTTGAAAATAAAATGCTCAGTGTGTACGATAAACACAATCATTTGATAATGAAGTCACCTCTTACAAAGAGTCGAACCTTCAAGGTAGAAATTGATGTAGTAGATCAAGAATGCTTTGCGGTTGCAGTAAAGAAGGAAGAATGGCTTTGGCATTATCGTTTTGGACACCTCAATTTCAGAGATTTGCAAAACCTGAAATCCAAAGACATGGTGCGTGGCTTACCTTATATATCTCCACCCAACGAAGTGTGTAGTGATTGCATGAAATCCAAGCAGCCTAGGAACTCTTTCCAACAACATATTTCATAAAAAACTAAGGAAAAATTACAAGTCGTCTATTCAGATGTCTGCGGGCCTATTCAAACTGAATTCCTTGGTGGTAATAGATACTTCGTCTCCATCATTGATGACTTTTCCAAAAAGTTATGTGTATATTTGATTAAAAGAGCGAATGAAGTATTAGAAATATTTCAAAAATTCAAACCTATGGTGGAACAATGTAGTGGCCAGTCGATCAAAGTATTGAGGACAGACGGTGGAGTTGAGTATACGTCCAAGGAGTTTGAAAGGTTTTGTGAAAAGGAAGGTATTGAGCATGAAGTCACCCCTCCATACACACCACAACACAATGGAATCGCAGAAAGAAGGAATCGAACCATCATGAATATGGTATGTAGCATGCTAAAGACGAAACAACTATCGAAGTATCTATGGGGTGAGGCCGTTTCTACTGCTGCTTACATCTTAAACAGATGCCCAACGAAGAGGCTGGAGGGAACTACTCCAGAAGGGGTTTGGTCCAACACTAAACCAGACGTGAGCCACCTAAGAGTGTTCGGATCAATCTGCTATAAGCATGCACCTGAACAGTTGAGAAGAAAGCTAGACGACAAAGGAGAGAAGATGATTCTGTTAGGATATCATCGAACAGGTGGATATAAACTGTTCAATCCCATCACCAAGCAAATTGTGACAAGTAGGGACGTGATATTTGATGAGTCGAAGGGATGGGACTTGGAGTTGAACGCGGATGAACTATACTGTCAGGTTATAATTGATTCAGGTGAGGAAACTAACAAAGATCCTAATGAAGAATCAGAAGGAGCATCTTCGTTCAATGTTCTAAGAAGATCTCAAAGAGATACTAGGATTCCATCTAGGTTTAAAGGTTTCGAGATAATATCTGATGATGATGTGAATGAAGATGGAGACATAGTCCATTTTGCTTTGTTCTCTGAAACTGAACCAGTTACTTATGAAGAAGCTATTTCGAATAGCAAATGGATCGATGCGATGAAGGATGAGCTTCGATCCATTGAGAAAAACCAAGTGTGGGAACTAGTGTCTCTACCTCAGGACAAGATACCAATCAGTTTAAGGTGGGTTTTCAAAACCAAAACTGATCCCATAGGGATGATAGTGAAGCACAAAACGAGATTAGTTGTACGTGGCTTTCTTCAGAAACTTGACATCGACTACAAGGAAGTATTTGCTCCAGTTGCCAGGATTGAAACGATACGAACAGTGGTCGCAATTGCCAATTCTAAAGGATGGATCATGTGTCAGTTGGACGTAAAATCCGCATTCTTGAATGGACCTCTAGAAGAAGAAGTTTATGTATCACAGCCTCCTAGGTTCGAACTTGAAGGACAGGAAGCTAAGGTGTATAAACTAAAGAGAGCCCTCTATGGACTTAAACAAGCGCCGAGAGCATGGAATCGAAGGATTGATGCTTACATGCTACAACTCGGATTCATCAGATGCACTTGTGAATTTGGAGTATATGTTCGCCAAAATCAATACGTGGTCATCGTGTGTTTGTACGTTGATGATCTTCTAATTACAGGCAACCATGTCGAAGACGTTGAAACAGTTAAGAGGAAATTGATGCATGAATTTGAAATGACGGACCTAGGAGAATTGTCATACTTTCTAGGATTTGAATTCACAAAGGTAAGAGAAGGATTGATGATGCACCAAAGGCGATATGCGATGGAGGTGTTGAAGAGATTCAACATGTTGAACTGCAATCCAGCGACTACTCCATCCGAGACTGGTTTAATATTGGAGAAAGAAGGAACTGAAGAACCTGTTGATGAAACTGTGTATAAGAAGGTTGTGGGATCCTTACAGTATCTTTGTCACACACGACCAGACATAGAATTCTCTGTCGGAGTTGTGTCACGATTCATGCAGAACCTAAGAGCACCTCATTTTCTTGCTGCCAAATGAATCCTCAGATATGTCAAAGGAACTATGTCAAGTGGTATCTTGTTTCCACGGAACAACGCCATGACAGACAAAATTGAAATTGTTGGGTTCTCGGATGCGGACTGGGGAGGTGATAAGGACGATCGTAAAAGTACGGTTGGTTTGGTGTTCTTTGTTGAAAAAGCTCCTATCTTGTGGAGTTCGAAGAAAGAACCTGTGGTAGCTTTGTCCACGTGCGAAGCGGAGTATATAGCTACTGCCATGTGTGCTTGTGAGGCTGCCTAGCTAGACAAACTGCTCATTGAGTTGAAGCAGAAAGGTGATGAAGGAATAAAGATGTTCGTCGACGACAAGTCAGTGATAAGCTTGTCAAAGAATTTGGTAGCTCACGGAAGAAGTAAACATATTGAAACTAAGTTTCACTACTTGAGAGACCAAGTGAATAAAAAGAAGTTAGAACTTGTGTACTGCAGCACTCAAGATCAAGTGGCAGACATGTTCACTAAAGCTAACAAGGGAGAGAGGTTTCGAATTTTGAGAAATAAGTTGAGAGTTTGTAAAGTTCATACAGAAATCTGAATTAAGGAGGAATGTTAAAATGTAATTCAATTTATAATTCAGTTTGACTTTCTATTTGAATAACAATGTATAAATAGCAGACGCACGTACAATAAATAACAGAGACGTATTATTCAGTTAAGTAAACTTTCTCTTTTGTTCTCTCTCGCCTCAACAGTTGAAACTTTCATTTTTGTGAAATTTTCATCTCGTGTTGACACAAGTAGTGTTTTATTCTGATTGGAACTTGGGTATTATGGGGGGCTAAATCCCACATCAAGTAGTATGGGATGATCGGTGGGGTATTTAATATCTCGGTTCAAACCCTAGCTTTTGCAGTTACTCCCCAGGTGCTTGGGTACTTATCATCTCCTGTTTTCGTACTGCATGTAGACCAAAATTACGTAACAGAGAATATGATGCATGAATAAGGAAGTGAATAAAGCAAGTGAAAAAACATTTAAAGGGATAATTTTGGTGGGATCCATGTCATGCTGCACAACATCATTATGGCCTAGTGTGATCAAGCCTTCTATCACTTACCCAGAACAGTTTTGTTATTTCCTCAAGCTGAACACTTGGAAATTTAAGCTCATTTCCTTGCATGCATGCTCAGTTAAATGATTTAGGTATTGTATTTTCATTGTTCACTTGTGTGGTTAGAGGTACCTATAGACTCAATAGTCATTAATATTAACAGACTTGATTACTTTTGAAGTTTCCACATCCAGTATATGATTTGCATCACATAATATTTCATAGGTTCTTTTATTATGCACATAATAGAACTAAAATGTAATACCTGTATGAACTGTTTCTCTGATACGCACCTTAAAAGTAATTATGCCCATAAGCAAATCCAGTTAGTGTTCTACCAGAAAGAAGATTGTTCTGGTGAAACTTGTTATATGACACTACATGCTAATTGCAATTTTAATTGTCTGCTGAGTGTTAGACCTAAAATTCTTTCATTATAATTATTAGCTTATAAATTTGCAGTTTATAAATCACAATATCATTTGATTATTCAATACAAATGACTGAAGCTAGTAACTCTGAGATGGAAACTATGACCAAACCTCAACTTATATACCGGTGTAAGAAATGCAGAAGAATTGTTGCTTCAGAGGAAAGTATAGTTTCCCATGAGCGTGGGAAAGGAGAATCAAGCTTCAAGTGGAAAAAGAGAAGCAGTGAAGCCTGGGAAGTGGAAAAGCAGTCAATTGATTGCACCTCAATATTTGTTGAGCCCATGAAATGGATGGAAGCAGGTACCTTCAAACTTTACCTCGTATATTTTACTCGTCATAAAATAATTCGTCAAACTTCACTCTAACACTCTGGATATTGATTGGCTTGGAAGTACAAGAAGGTAATGTGGGGGATAAACTTCTATGTATGGGTTGTAATGCTCGTTTAGGTAACTTCAACTGGGCTGGTATGCAGTGCAGCTGTGGCGCCTGGATTAACCCTGCATTTCAGCTGCATAAAAGCAGATTAGATGAGTGCAACATGTAAACCAATCACTTAGCAGATTTTCGAGAAGACCAGAGCTTGAAAACATATGAAGGTTATTCCTTTTGTGAACAAAAGACAATTGCAGCTTAGCTTGGAAGTTTGTATCGTACAACTCCATATTTGTTATTGAATGAAACATACAGTAAATTATTTTTATTATTACTAGTATGCAAAAAAAGTTCCTTTTTTTTCAATTTATTTTTTTCACCATTAAAATTTGTTTCTCTGCATGTTCAGATGAAATTAATGACATGCCAAAAGTAAGAACACGATGTAATTTGTCTCATGATAATAGAGGAATAAGAATTTTTATAGTGGAATAACTAAGGAGCAACTATTAACTTTTTTTTTTTTTTTAGTTTTGTTAATGATATGATACTCTGTAAATAGGGAAATATGTCTACTTAATATTTACGCATATGAAAACTTGAATCCAGCAATGTCAGACTCCAGTATGAGCTGTTGGATGCAAGTATTCACATCTGATCATACAGAACTCATAATTGGATGCTATTAACACGTGGAGAAGAGTCTTGTTTTGAATTGTTATTTAGACATATTAAACGTGGAAAAAAATTAGTATTTTGTGAGATTGAATCGTAACTTTTGAATCAAAATATGAAATAAATCAGGATAATATGTCAAAAACAATAATATTTGATTAGATAAAGGAATCGTAAAAATAATAAGAAAATTCTTGATAAAATTGAAAATGTTCTAATAAAAAACTAAATAATATCTTAAAATTTAAAAATGTAATGAAGCACATCATTTTAAAATTTTTAACATACCGAATTTTCTACCACTTTTCAATCTGTGCCTTTTTTTGTTTTTTGTGCGATCTGATTCTGTGCCTTTTTTTTTTGTTTTTTGTTTTTAATTGTGCGAAAGCATTGATAAATTCTTGTTCTTTTGTTCTTCATTTCGCAGCTGTGGCGCTCTGTACCCGAAGGAGCACAAGCAGCAACTGCGATCACGAGGTTCTTCTTCTTTCTTCCCTCTTCAATCTTGCTTCGGAGTTCTGCTTTCTCAATCAATCTCCGGATATGTGTTAGTGTTGATGTTGCAAATCTTAAAAAAAAAAAAAAAAACCTTGTATTTCTGCTAGGTTTGTCGATTAATGGGATTGATTTGATTGAGTTTAGGTTTATTCCGACTCATTCGATTCTTTACATTTTACTTTTCAAATTTTCTTTTGACTGTGCTGATTCCAGATTCCATTGGGTGGTTTAAGTTTGATTCGTCCTTTTATAGGTCTTCTTCATGATTATTGTTCTTTTGAGTGTCTCAACTTTCATCATCAGGTTTAAAATGTTGTCTCTATAGATCCTAAGACTTCTAAAATTGTCATAATTGTTCTCAATTTGAGTGAGGTCAATTATCTTTCCCTGCGAACGACCCAGTGCAAAATCTGCTACATTTAGATGATTTGATAGAATCGTCTCTTACTTGTTCTCTTCTGATGTCATTTGTTGATCACCTGTGCACTTGGACATTAAACAGACTGATTTTCTTCGTACATTATATTGTCTTGTGCATTTGAATCTTCTGATAACACTTGTCGTTAATTTATTTGCTTAATTGCATAGGTTAATTGAGGTTAATTCACCGTTAAAGATAATATTAAAAAATTAGATAATAAAATTTAATCAATAAAAAGTCTTTGTTTGAAATTCAATCATAAAAGTTTTCTTACAGAAATTTTATTTCAAATATTTCATTCTTATTTTAATTATTAGTTTTTCATTATTTCAATCAATTCATTTTTTTTCAAATTGTAATAATTATAAAGTTAAATACATGGATTCAATAATATAATATTTTACCTGTCAGGATTATTTTACCTATATATTACCTACAAAGTAACAAGGAAATTGAAGAATATATTACTATACTAGTATAAATTGGCCAAAGAAGGGCTACAATTTAATTAAAATTTCCTCCAAATTATATTTCTTGTTTAATTAGCTACTTTTTTTATGGTACATGAATATTGTTGTAATTTTGTAGCTAATGCATTTCTTGTTTAAAAATCATATAATTTAATTGATTTGATAAAAAAAAAAACAAAAATTATATAAGAAACTACATCACATTTTTAGAATTTTATAAAATTATTTTTGTTTTCATTTATTACACACATAATTTAAATTTTCTCCCTCTCTATCATTTTTTCTCTACTTTTCCGAACACAAGGTCACCGAGTAAGAGCACATGGAAATAACTTACATTATACATAAGAATTTTTCATATATTAGAAAAATGTGTATGTAATCCTTATTACGGTACATCTTAATAAAATAATTGCATTCAATTTCACTTTAATAAGAAACTTTAAATATATAATTTATATTTTTTAATTTAAAATTGATTTTATTTAAAAAAATTTTTCTCCACTTTACCAAATACACTATTTAGAAATAAGAGCATCTAGAAAATAAATCTAATAATTCACATCACATGAATGATTTCATATATTAAAAATGTGATTTGAAAATGATGTTAAAGGAAGGGTTATCTTTAAATAAGGGTGATGATTATTTGAAAATCGATTATGTAATGCAAACCTGTATTATTATGGAGTATATAAAGAAGCTTTAACATGTTTAATATCTAATTATTCAGCCTATGGAATAAAGGAAAGTTAAACATATTTCATTACATATCTGCACTGCACAACCAAGCAACCATTTTATTATTTATTCTTCATTACTTGGTTTTCTTTCTTTTCCACACTTCTAACCAAACATATTTAGAAATAAAATTAAATAATTTTCCAACATGATTTCTGGTTATTTAAACACTACTCATATAATTTCATTTAAACCATTTTCATTTTTTTCATTTGTGCATTGGACAAATTTTTTGCACAAGTTGATTTGTGTCTATGTTTTCTATGCTACAGAAACAGGTTTAGAAAGCAATTCACAAGCAGAAAGAGATGGAAGGCTTATTAACAAACATATCATCTTCATCAACGTCGTCATATTCGGAGGCAGACTTGAATCCTCTAAAGATTTGCATCCTCCCATTTCCAACTCCAGGGCACATGAACCCACATCTCAATTTGGCTCAAGTCTTAGCCTTTCGTGGTCACCATGTTACCATTCTCACCACTCCTTCCAATACTCAATTCCTCCCAAAATACCTAAACTTTCACACCTTCAACTTCCCTTCCAACCAAGTTGGTCTTCCTCCTAGCATCGAGAACCTATCCTCTGCCCAAGACAACCAAACTGCGAACAGGATATGTAAGGCCATGTACCTTCTCAAACCCCAAATACAAACCATCCTCCAGGAAAACCCTCCTCATGTTTTGATTTCAGACATCATGTTCCCGTGGAATTTCGCTTCCACACTCAACATCCCCACGTTGGTATTCAACCCCATGCCCATCTTCGCTCTTTGCATTGCTGAGGCCATCAACAATTGCCAGCCCGAAGTGTTGCCTTCGGATTCTTCGCTTCCTTTTATTGTCCCTGGTGATCTCCCGCACAACGTCACGCTCAATCTTAACCCTTGGTCAACGAGCTTCGACACCATGGTTCGCATTTTGCTACTCGCCAAGAAAAATAACACACTTGGGGTCATTGTGAACACTTTTGCAGAGCTCGAAGATGGGTACACTGAGTATTACGAGAAATTCACAGGAGTTAAAGTGTGGCACGTTGGCCTGCTCTCGCTTATGGTGGATTACTACCAGAGAAGAGGCTCATCATCACAAAAAAGTCAGGTATAAGTATGGAATAAAACATAAGATCACTAAGATGAATAGACTTTGACTCTTGCGACATTTTTTTGTTCAAATTTATGATTAAGTACTTCTTATTTACAAAGTTAAAAGATTTTTTTTTCACAAATACTTTATTATCTTCATCCGCTTATACAAATAAATTGTTTAAATAAATTTCTACCCAAAAGAAGCAAAGAAAAATATAAGTTATTTCATATATTAATTTTTTAAAACAATTTTAATTTTAATATGTCAACAAATATTTTTTTCTCAAAAAAGTTCTTGAGATTTAATTTTCCAAACAAACCTTAAATACTTTTTTTACTACATATATAACACATTTTTTGTATTATTAATTAACATTGGAAGCAATAAAACAAACACACCGTTCATACATAAATACATCTTATTTTTTATAATTTCGTTAATATTTATTTTTTCTTTCTATTTCTCTTTTTCTCTCATATTATAATTATAAAATTAAGAAATAATATAAATACACTCATTGTTAATAAACACTTACCATACAATCTTTTCTTTTTTATATTTCTTTCTTATTTTACATTATGTCTCTTATAAATTATTTTACTGTTTGGTTTCATCATTCATTAATTAATGCTTATCAGCTGTGGCAGTGTGGCAATTGTAAGCTACTCAACAAATAGATTCATAGTAACAAAGGATGGGAATTAATTTCAATTTTTCAGGGAGGAGATGGTGTCTTGGACCAGAGAATGATCGTCAGTTTCAATGCAATTTAGAAGATAGGATTAGATGAGACCATCTATTTGAAAATGCAGTCATCAGCATCGAATTTTTACATGGTCAAAAAAATCATTTATCATTTTGTTATCTTTTCTAAGGTTATGATTTGCATTCTCCAATAATTTTAGGTTGGCCACCAGGAGTGTCTCGATTGGCTTAGCTCAAAGGAACATAATTCAGTGGTGTACATATGTTTTGGAAGCTTGTGTCGTCTCAACAAAGAGCAATATTTGGAGATAGCGCGTGGGATTGAAGCCTCAGGACACAATTTTCTCTTGGTGCTTCCAAAAAATGTGAATGATGACGACATGAAAGAAGAAGGGTTGTTGCATGACTTTCAAGTAAGGATGAGGGAAATTGATAGAGGAATGGTAGTTAGAGGTTGGGTCCCACAGGATTTGATATTGAAGCATGTTGCCATTGGAGCATTCCTAACACATTGTGGGGGTAATTCAGTGTTGGAGGCGATTTGTGAGGGGGTGCCTATGATCACCATGCCTAGGTTTGCTGACCAATTTTTGTGTGAGAAGTTGGTGACAGAGGTGCAAGGGGTTGGGGAGGAGGTGGGGATTTGGGAATGGAGCTTGTCACCTTATGATGTGAGGAAGGAGGTGGTGGGTTGGGAAAGAATTGAGAATGCTGTGAGAAAGGTGATGAAGGATGAAGGAGGATTGTTCAGAAAACGAGTGAAGGAATTGCAGAAAAAAGCACATCAAGCTGTTCAAGAAGGTGGATCCTCTTATGATAATGTTACTGTCCTTGTTCAATCAATCAAACAGATGAATATCTAAGGTTGATGTCAATGCTACATTCATTTCTTAATAACTTTTGTTAAATGATTGCGTATCAGATGCTAATTTTATGTTTGAAAATTAATATTGGATAAGACATTTTGTAGTTTATAATAAATTTAAATACAATGAATTTGATTTTTTTATTTATTTCAAATTATTTGATTTTTCAAATAATTTATTTGAAAGACAATTTGATTTTATTAAATTTAAATTTTCTATTTTTAATAAATATTTCAATTACTTACAAATATAAAAATTATAATTACTAGATTTTGTGAATTAAGTTTAGTTGAGGATATTTATTATCAACATAGATTGGGTTAGATTTTAATAAGTTAAGTTGGAATGAGATGAATTATTATATGTTAGATAGAGTAAGTTAGAGCGGGATAAATTAGGTTAAGTTGATAAATTGAGATGGATCAGATTGTGTTAGGATGAGTTAGACTAAGTTAGGATGAATCATGTTATATTGGATTAAGTCGAGTTGATGTGCTAGGTTATATCATAATTGAATATGACATGTTAAGATGAGATAAATTAAGGTTAAATATATTAATAGACTTTGTATGATTAGATGACATGAAAATTTCGAATAATAGATTAGATCTGAATAATTATGACTTAAATTGAATTAGGATAATTTTGGTCTAATCCATTTAGGTTAAACTAGATTATGGTTGACTCATTTTATAAAATAATAATTATTTTTTTAATAAAAATAATATCATTTTATTAAAAATAAATATATATATATTATAAATTAATTTAATAAGAGATTTAATTATTCTATGATTAAGTATAACTACTTATTTTAAAATTTAATAATTATGAATTCTTTTTAAAATATTATATTACTAAATAATAATAGTAATAAAATAATAAAAAATAAATTTTTAATTCTTATTTTAAAATAAAGTGATATATACTCTTATAATTTATTTAAATTATAAAATAAAGATTAATTTTATTAATATAACTTAAGTTTTAAAAATATATTTTTTATTTTAATTTTTTTAATAAATTATTACTTATTTTAAACCTGTTAATCTAACGTATAATTAGATTGGACAAAAAATATGATTCATTTTAAAATATAAATTATTTAAGTTAGATTTAGTTCTAAATATTAGTTTATTATTTTGATTATTATATAACAAATATATTTTTGAATGCATTTCTATACTATTAAAATTCCACTATATTATTATAAATTATATATTATTATAATTAAGAGAATGAAAATGGGAATCAATAACATTTATAATATATATATATATATATATATATATATATATAAATTAATTTAATAAACAATGTATTTAGTTTTTATACAATATACGAATGAAGTTCTTATATTATTTTGTCTCAAATGCGTCAAATATAAAAATCAAAGCAATTATAAAGAATACCAATATTACAAAATGTCATATTAAAAAAATATTGTACTCAAATATAGAAAACATTATTTAATTTCTGATTTTTTTTAATTTTTAAATTCATCAATTTAATATTCTAATTTTTGAAACTTCTAATTCGAATAATATTTTTATATAAAATTAATATTTAATTATGATTTTTGTATTTTATCAAATATAATAAAATGATTAAATGTAATTTTAATACTTTTATATTTAAATTTAATATTTAATAAAAAATTTGTAAAATTATAAAAAGAATTAATTTATCTATATTTTAAAATTTATAGATTAATTATCAATTTTTAAAATATAAGAATTGAAACTAATTAAAAAAAAACATAAAAATCATATCTAACCTAAAATATATATTTAATAGTTTTTGAAATTCAATGTAAATAACATCATGATGATTCTTTATATAAAAAAAGATGTGCATTTATTTGCTTTCCTTAATTCACCAATGTCAACCATTCACTCAACAACACTGAAACAAAAGATAATAATAAAACCTGAAACAAAGGATAATAATAAAACCTTAAAACAAGGGAGGAGAAAGAGCAGAGATTAAGGGTTTTGTAGAGGAATCAGAAATTAGAGTTACGAGAGGAAAGGATCCATTGGTGACCCTCTTTCCTTTCAATTGTAAAGATATAAGATAAATGTGTTTTTTTTTTCTCTTAATTTATTTGATGATTTATTCTTATTATCTCTTACTCTCACCCATGTGGGAATGAATTTAAATCTCTGTAAATCGGAGTTGAAAGCTGTCACTACTTTGAGACGCATTGGTTGTTGGTTGGGTTTGGTAATTTAACTTGACGGTGGTTGCATACTAAGTGATTGATTAAATGCCAACTTTGGGTGGTTTTTGCGATGTGAAAATGTTAACTCTTTTGTTTATTGGACGTGGATTTCATCACAGCCTCGGGTGAGGGAGATTTTTTATTACGCCCTTATTACGAGGGTATTTGTCATCACATCCCTAGTTTCGAAAGAGTTTTTCATCACATTCTTAACTGAGGAAATTCTTTTATCATGCTCTCACCTCAAAAGGGATTTCTAGGTACTAATATGATCGATCTAATATTATCTTTAAAAATATGACATACCTAATTTAATCTAACAAAATCGGTTAAAGAGGATTAATTTTCTAATATTGAGTTCTCTAACGATATCAGGACCTAGAAATCCCTCTTGAGGTGAGAGACATGATAAAAAAATTTGATCATACTCACTTGTGTGTTTAGAGGTGCTATAGACTCAATAGTCATTAATATTAACGGACACTTGATTACTTTTGCAGTTTCCACGTGCAGTATATGATTTGCGTCACATATTATTTCATTGGTGCTTTTATTATGCAGATAATAGAACTAAAATCTAATACCTCTATGAACTTTTTCTCTGATATGAACCTAAAAAGTAATTATGCCCATAAGCACATCCAGTTAGTGTTCTACCAGAAAGAAGATTGCTCTTGTGAATATTATTATATGACACTACATGCTAATTGCAATTTTAACTGTCTGCTAAGTGTTGGACGTCAAATTATTACATTATAATCTTTTGCTTATAAATTTGCAGTGTTTAAATCACAATACCATTTGATTATTCAATACAAATGGCTGAAGCTAGTAACTCAGACTGAAACTATAACCAAACCTCAACTTATATACCGGTGTAACAAATGCAGAAGAATTGTTGCTTCAGAGGAAAGTATAGTTTCCCATGAGCGCGGAAAAGGAGAATTAAGTTTCAAGTGCAAAAAGAGAAGCAGTGAAGCCTGGGAAGAAAAGCAGCCAGTTGATTGCACTCAATATTTGTTGAGCCCATGAAATGGCTGGAAAAAGGTAGGTGTAAACTTTCTCTTGTATATTTTACTTGTCATCCAAATAATTGTCAAACTTCACACTAACACTGTGGAAATTGATTGGCTTGGAAGTACAAGAAGGTCATGTGAGGGATAAACTTCTATGTATGAGTTGTAATGCTCGTTTGGGTAACTTCAACTGGGTTGGTATGAAGTGCAGCTGTGGCGCCTGGATTAACTCTGTATTTCAGCTGCATAAAAGCAGAGTAGATGAGTGCAACATGTAAACCGATCAATTGGCAGATTTTCCAGAAGACAGCTTGAAAACATGTGAAGGTTATTCTTTTTGTCAACGAAAGAAAATTGAAGCTTAACTTGGAAGTTTGTATCGGACAAATTCACAGTTAGAATTTTAATGTTTTTGAATTTTATTTTAAAAATGTAAAAATAAAAAATAAATTTTAATACATAATTTCAAATAACATATAATATAAGAATTCATTATAATTATCAAATGAAGTACAGAAATGATCATACCATGTATATGGAAGTTGGTTTACAGATCGGAATGGGTTAAAAATTTAATGCAAAATGTATTTTCCAAAAAACATTTTAAAATGTGTTAAAAACATCTATTAACAAAAATAAAAAAAATGGTAAACAATTACAAATGTAAAAGGCTAAATTATTAAATTTATTATTTCTCTTATAAATCATATTAAACTTAATATATGTATTTGTAAAATATCAAAATAATTATTTCATTAATTTTAAATTTATTTTATTAATAATTTAAACATATTAATTGTTAGAAATTAACATAAAACATTTTTCTTTGCAATATTTTTACTACACAAGATCAGGGATTTTAATTGACATTATAATAAAAAATGTTTTTTTAATAAAACTCTAGCCTTCCTTCCTTTCCATCATTTGCTCTAACTTCATTGATTTTGATATTTTATCCAATTTTATCATTTTAATCATTTAATGTCCTATATATTTCTGTCAGTAACATCTCAATCATTTTTTTTCAAGTACTTCCTTTGTTCTTCATTTCGCAGTTCATTTCGCAGCTCGTCTTCTGTAGCCTAAGGAGCACAAGCAGCAACTGCGATCACGAGGTTCTTCTTCTTTCCCCTCTTCTATCTTGCTTTGGAATTCTGATTTCTCAATCAATCTCCGGATCTGTGTTAGTGTTGACGTTGCAAATCATAAAAAAAAAAAAAAAAACTTGTATATCTGCTAGGATTATCAATTGATGTGATCGATTGGATATTGACTTAGGTTTATTCTGACTATTCGATTCTTTACCTTTTACTTTCAAATTTTCTTTTGACTGTGCTGAGTCCAGATTCCACTGGGTCGTTCAAGTTTGATTCTTCCTTTATAGGCCTTCTTCATGATTATTGTTTTTTTGAGTGTCTCAACTTTCATCATCAGGTTTAAAATGTTGTCTCTATAGATCATAAGACTTCTAAATTGTCATAATCGTTCTCAATTTGAGTGAGGTAAACTATCTTTCCCTGCAAACGACCCAGTGCAAAATCTGCTAGACTTAGATGATTTGATAGAATCGTCTCTTACTTGTTCTCTTCTGATTGCATTTGTTGATCACATGTGCACTTAGACATTAAACAGACTGATTTTCTTCCTACATTATATTGTCTTATGCATTTGAATCTTCTGATAACACTTGTCATTAATTTATTTGCTTAATTACATAGGTTAATTGAGGTTAATTCACCGTTGAAGATCTTTGCATCTTGAGAAGTAGGTTTCATTCTTATTTTAATTATTAGTTTTCCCTTATTTCAATCAATTCATTCTCTTTTATTTTTTATTAAATTGTAACAATTATAAAGTTAAATACATGGATTCAACAGTATAATATTTTACCTGTCAGGATTATCTTACCTATATATTATCTACAAATTTACAAGGAAATTGAAGAATATATTACTATATTAGTGCAAATTAGTCAAAGAAGGGCTACGATTTATGTAAAATTTCCTCCAAAATTATATTTCTTGTTTAATTGGATGCTTTTTTTATGCTACCGTGAATATTGTTGTAATTTTGTAGCTAATGCATTTTAATATAAATTAACAACAAATTAGCTACTTATTTTTTTAGGTTTAAAAATTTATTGTAGCAATGACTACAATGTTACTAATTTTATTCATCTAATTTATTTAATTTTATAAATGATTACTTATGTAAATCTTAATTGTTTAAGATTTATTATCACATCTGTGAAGAAAATTGATAATTATGTATTTGTTTATATGGAATAAGTATAAAAAAGATTTATATAGAAGATAAACTATTATTTATTTTAATAATTCATATTTTATTATCTTAATAGACTTTATTATTTAAATTTAAAAAAATATCAGATAGTTAAATATAATAAACAGAAGCAAAAATGTATAATAATTATTCTTACTGGAGTCTAAGAGTGATCAAATTTTATTGTATGTCGTTTGAAGTGTTTCGAGTTGGGCTAAGAAAATAATATTTAGCGTTGAGTAAGAAATATTAAATCTTGTATGGAGTAGTGTGTAGTTATCCATCCATGATTCAGAGATGATTTCCATAAATTCTCACCCTCTCTATCATTTTCCCTCTACTTTACCGAGCAAGGTTACTTAATAAGAGCACATGGGAAATAACTTACATTATATATAAGAATTTTTCATATATTAAAAATATGTCTACGTAATCCTTATTTCGTCACATCATAATAAAAATAATTTCATTCAATCTTACTTTAATTAAAAAAAAATTTAATTTATAATTTATTTATTTTTAATTTAAAATTGATTTTATTTATAATTTTTTCGCCACTTTACCAAATACACTATTAATAAATAAGAGCATCTATGAAATGAAACCAATTCACATCACATCAACTATTTCCTATTTTAAAATGTAACTTGGAAATGACGTGAAAGGAAGGGTTATCTTTAAATAAGAGTGATGATTGTTTGAAAATTGATTATGTCATGCAAACCTGTATTATTATTGAGTATATAAAGAAGCTTTAACATATTTAATATCTAATCATTCAGCCTATGGAGAAAAGGAAAGTTAAACATATTCCGTCACATGTCTGCACGACCTAGCAACCATTTTATTCTTCATTATTTGGTTTTCGTTCTTTTTCAAACTTCTAACCAAACATATTTAGAAATAAAATTAAATAATTTTCCAGCATGATTTCTGGTTATTTATTTAAACAATACTCATGTAAATTCCATTCAAAGAGTGATATTTCCTTACCGAAATAATGATTTTTTTTTTTCATTTGTGCATTGGACAAATCTTTTGCACAAGTTGATTTGTGTCTGTTTTCTATGCCCTACAGAAACAGGTTGGGAAAACAAATTCACAAGCAGAAATCTAAGAGATGGAAGGCTTATTAACAAACATATCATCTTCATCAACATCGTCACATTCGGAGGCAGACTTAAATCCTCTAAAGATTTACATCCTCCCATTTCCAACTCCAGGGCACATGAATCCACATCTCAATTTGGCTCAAGTCTTAGCCTTTCGTGGTCACCATGTTACCATTCTCACCACTCCATCCAATACCCAATTCCTCCCAAAACACCTAAACTTTCACACCTTCAACTTCCCTTCCAACCAAGTTGGTCTTCCTTCTAGCATCGAGAACCTATCCTCTGCCCAAGACAACCAAACCGCGAGCAAGATATGCAAGGCCACATACCTTCTCAAATCCCAAATACAAACCTTCCTCCAGGAAAACCCTCCTCATGTTTTGATTTCAGACATCATGTTCCCGTGGAATTTCGCTTCTACACTCAACATCCCCACGTTGGTATTCAACCCCATGCCCATCTTCGCTCTTTGCATTGCTGAGGCCATCAACAATTGCCAGCCCGAAGTGTTGCCTGAGGATTCTTCACTTCCTTTTGTTGTCCCTGGTGATCTCCCGCACAACGTCACACTCAATTTTAACCCTTGGTCAACGAGCTTCGACACCATGGCTCGCACTTTGCTACTCGCCAAGAAAAATAACACGCTTGGGGTTATTGTGAACACTTTTGCGGAGCTCGAAGATGGGTACACCGAGTATTACCAGAAACTCACAGGCGTTAAAGTATGGCACGTTGGCATGCTCTCGCTTATGGTTGATTACTACCACAGGAGACGTTCATCATCACAAAAGAATCAGGTATAAGTAAGCACAAGATCACTGGAGATGAATAGACTTTGACTATTGAGCCTTTTTTTTTGTTCAAATTTATGGTTAAGTACTTCTTATTTTACAAAATTAGAAGATTTTTTTTTCCCACAAATAATTAAGTATCTCAATCAACTTATACAAATAATTTGTTTAAATAAATTTCTACGCAAAAGAAGCAAAGAAAAATATAAGTTATATCATATTAAATTTTAAAACAATTATAATTTTAATATGGCAACAAATATTTTTTCTCAAAAAAGTTCTTATTGTAGAGATTTAATTTTCCAAACAAACCTTAAATACTTTTTTTTACTTAATATATCTTTTATAGCTCATTTTTTTATTATTATTAACATTGAAAGCAATAAAATAAGAAAACAAACACACCATTCATATATACATCATATTTTTTATAACTTCGTTAATATTTATTTTTTCTTTCTATTTCTCTTTTTCTCTCATATTATAATTATTATAAAATTAAGAAACAATATATACACTCATTCTTAATAAACACTTATTATACATTTTCTCTTTTTTTATATTTCTTTCTTATTTAACATTATACCTCTTATAATTTTTTTTAATGTAGAGGAACATTTCAATGTACATCAAACATTTTGATACAAAATTTATAATTTCACTGGCATGTGGATGCGATTTATTATTACACTGTTGTTCAATGATTTTTCTTTAAAGAAACGTGTACAGAAAATTATTTTTATTAAATAATAATTAGTAAAATGATATATTATAAGTCTCATTATTATGTTTTTGGAGTATTATTTTACTGTTTGGTTTCATCATTCATAAAATAATTCTTATCAGCTGTGGCAGTGTGGCAATTGTTAGCTACTCAACAAATAGATTCATAGTAACAGAGGATGGGAATTAATTTCATTTTTCCAGGGATTAAATGAGACCTTCTATTTGAAAATGCAGTCATCAGCATCGAATTTTTACATGGTCAAAAAGATGATTTATCATTTTGTTATCTTTTCTAAAGTTATGATTTGCATTCTCCAATAATTTTAGGTTGGCCACCATGAGTGTCTCGATTGGCTTAGCTCAAAGGAACATAATTCAGTGGTTTATGTATGTTTTGGAAGTTTGTCTCGTCTCAACAAGGAGCAATATTTGGAGATAGCGCGTGGGATCGAAGCTTCAGGACACAATTTTCTCTTGGTGCTTCCAAAGAATGTGAATGATGATGACATGAAAGAAGAAGGGTTGTTGCATGACTTTCAAGTAAGGATGAGGGAAATTGATAGAGGAATGGTAGTTAGAGGTTGGGTCCCACAGGATTTGATATTGAAGCATGTTGCCATCGGAGCATTCCTAACACATTGTGGGGGTAATTCAGTGTTGGAGGCGATTTGTGAGGGGGTGCCTATGATCACCATGCCTAGGTTTGGTGACCAATTTTTGTGTGAGAAGTTGGTGACAGAGGTGCAAGGGGTTGGGGAGGAGGTGGGGGTTTGGGAATGGAGCATGTCACCTTATGATGTGAGGAAGGAGGTGGTGGGTTGGGAAAGAATTGAAAATGCTGTGAGAAAGGTGATGAAGGATGAAGGAGGATTGTTCAGAAAACGAGTGAAGGAATTGCAGAAAAAGGCACATCAAGCTGTACAAGAAGGTGGATCCTCTTATGATAATGTCAGTGTCCTCGTGCAATTAATCAAACAGATGAAGGTTGATGTGAATGGTACGTTCCTTTCTTAATAACTTTTGTTTTAAAATGATTCCATCTCAAATATTAATTTTTAAAATTAGCGTTGGATAAGATATTTTGTAATTTATAATAAATATAAATATATTGAATTTGATTTTTTTTTCAATCATTTGTTTTTTCAAATGATTTGTTTGAAAAAAATAATTCAAATTTATTAAATTTTAATTTTCTATTTTGAATAAAATATTTCAATTATTAGATATATAAACATTATCATGATATTTGAGAATTAAGTTTAAATGTATAATACTTAATTCTTCTCATTATAAATTAGGTTGGATTAAAACCAATCATGATATATTAAATCGGATTAAGTTAAATAAGAATAAATCGGGTTAGGTTGATAGGTTGAAATGAGTCGGATTGTGTGAGTCTGTGTTGAGATGATGAATCAGATTATATCGGGTCGAGTTGGGTTAAAATGGATCATGTAGGGTCGTAATTGAGTAGAACATTAAGATGAGATAGATTAAGGTTAAGGGTATCAAAATAAGTTTAGTTCGATGAATAAGTCCAAAAGATCCAAGAAATAAATTAAATTAGACCAAAAAATTATGATCTAAATTAAATTAGAATAATTTTGGCATTACCCATTTAGGTGGCTCATTGTTTTTAAATAAAAGTGATATTATTTTTTACTATATATATATATATATATATATATATACAAATTAATTTAATAAAAAATTCACTTATACTAATAGTAATTATCGTAATAGTAAGTATAAGAGTAAAACTCTAATACCTACTTGTTTTAGAATTTATAATTAAGATGAATTTTTATTTTAAAACATTAAATTACTAAATAATAATAAAAAAAAGTAAGTTTTTAACTATTATTTAAGCGAATTGATCTCTTTTATTATGATTTATATATTAAATTATATCGAAAATAAAGATTAATTCTATCAATATATCTTAAATTTTAAAATTATATATATTTTAATTTTTTTTAATAAATTATTATTTATTTTTAATCCTCCAAAATTGACTTATTAGTCCGATAGTTTAATGTAAGGTTAGGCTACAAAAAAAATTATGATTTGTTTTAAAATATAGGTTGGATTAAGCTGTAATGTTTTATTTTATTTTTACTTGGATCATAGGTCGGACTAAACCAAGCCACCTATTTTGACGGTTCTAGGTTCCGACAAGGCAAACCAAAACAAGATATGTCGAGTTAAGAGAAGTCAACTCAAAATGAATAAGGTTGGACTAAGACGAGTCAGGGATAAGTTGGGTCAGGTGAGCTAGGTTTATTTTGGGTTGTTGGTCAAATTTGATAAAAAATGGTTGGATCAAGTTATGAAAGGTCAAGATGGATTGAACCGAGTCAATTGAGTTAGTCTAATACAAGATGGATTAGATTAAAACCAATCTGATCAGGATGGTTTGAGAATGGTTAAAAGGTCCTAGGTAGGTTTGAACCATGTCAAGACAAGTCTTGGGCCAAGTTGATCATGCTTATCTGGATCAAGTTCAATCGACTCATGTTGAAACAGATCAAGATAAGTCAACAATTACTCCATTGAGATTGAGTCAATGGGAAAATAAAGAAGAGACATTAATTTAAGAAAAAAATGAAGAAATTTAAATTCTTACTTTTTAAATGAAATTTGAATTTATTTTATGTTAAGTAATCAAAATATCCTCGTCAATATCTAATTTCAACTACTTTTCAAATTTTCTATCCAAACAAATAATTTTCCCATAAAAAATTTCAAATTTTCTATTAAAATGAATTATCTTCTATATATTCCTCATCCAAACACAAAGAAAGTTTACTCCGTCTGAATTTTCAAACTCATGACATTTATTACACAACAAAAATATTCTTTATATCAATAATGTATTATTAATATATATGATTACTCGGTTATAATTAATATTAAGCATATATAATTTACTATTTAAAACATCCCATAAAGGCCTATAAATAGGATTACTTTATTATTTATAAATCATCCACTACAAAAAAGAAGTATTATTTACAAAATATTACCTACGGATAAAAATCCGTAGATAAAATGTACATTACATTTTACCTACGAAATTTTATCCGTATATAAATTATCTATTACCTACGGAATTATTGTCCGTAGGTAATGTCATCCATGAGTAATTATTTATTACCTACGAATTATTGTCCATAGGTAATGTCATTCGTGAATATTATTTATTACTTACGTAATTACTATCCATAGGTAATACCATCCGGGGGTAATTATCCATTATCTACAAAATTACTGTTTGTAGATAAATTACATACGGATTACAATCCGTAGATAAATTATATCAAATTAAAATAATTATATCAAATAGATAAATATATAAATATGTAAATAAATAAATATATAAATAAATAAATATATAAACACTCCTCAAACCCGACCAAAGTCAAGTCCTCAATCAAGATATGAACCATTATCTAAAGAATACCTAGAAAAACCCAATACTTAAT